TTTTTTTAAAGGTATGGCAAAGTTTATTAAACTTTTTTTACTCTTTAAAGGCATGTTTGTTTTTTAGTGTTTAATAACTAGAGCTGTGCTTGCTCTATAGATTTGGTCATTATCTTTTTATTTGCACTTTTTAACTGATTACAATTCCAGCCAGACAGAACACACTGGTGGTATTGTGAGATACAGGGAGGTCAAAAGGTTTGGTCCTGTAACCAAGAGCTCATATTTTAATAAATGTTGTGTGTCTTTAACAAACAATCATAGAAAGACTATGCAACTTTAGAAAAAAAGCTTAATGATGCACCTCAGGGACAAAGTGTTCTGCATATGAGGGGTTGGAGCCTGTACTGTGCTTAAGTTACATTTTTAGGACAGCAGAAGTATTCACATGTCATTCAAAGCATCAGTCACACCAACTAGAGAACAAGTTGTCCACAAAGCCAAGAGGCGACTCATTTTATACATCATCTAAAAATATTATTTGACGAAAGCTTAGCTTTACAATAATGTTGATGTAGTTTTCAGATTTAAGTGTTTTTCTGCAGCACACTGACAGCAAAGATGAATTGAGGGAGGAACAAATGGCGGTATTATTAACATGTTTAGCAACAGATACAAAGCAAAAAACATGATTTCAAATAATGTGAGTTTTCCAATAATCAAAAATATTGTTGCTAAAGTGAGTGTAACCTTAGAGCAAAATATTTTAGTATCTCAAATGTCTTTTTTTCTTCATTTTTTTTTTTTTAGGAAATTACAAATATGTGTATTCATATTTTACAAATGTGAAATATGTTTCCAAGAAGTGATTTTTACTGTGCATTTTTACAAAAAAACTAAATAAAACAAACTTATAGCGCACTTTTTTTTAAAGGTCGTGTTTATTATCAGTATAACAATTATGTTTGTAAAATAAACTCTGGTTCTTTCACTTCTGTATACTTGATTAATTGCTGCTGTGTCAAATTCGGCATGGTCGCCAGGAAGACCTCAGTCTGTTTTTTATCTTAAACAGTTACACATTTTTTTTTTATAATTTTCTCTCTGTACACCACAGCACAGGAACCTCTAAAAATGGAATATTATATATAAAAAAGGCTGTAATTCTAAAAGAGTTAATGCAGTACTTTAGTTAAATTACTTGAATTAAAACGAAAAGTTTGCCCTGCAATATCATTTTGATTGTTTGATATAAAACCCATTGTGCAGGTTTACCAAGGAAAAGTTCTAATAAATGATCATTATAATGAGCACTGAAACTTTAGTTATTAACACTAAATTATTTTACTCTCCTGTGCACTTAAAATAGTTTTACTCCGCTGTATAGAGAAATTATGTATCTTTTTGGTTTCCCAGTTTGCCACAAAATGTAACAAAATTCAGCTGAGCATGCCAGGTGTCACACCTTTCATCTTTTGTTAAACATGTTTAATATGTAAGTATGTCTGTGAAGGTTCTCAGTCATCCAGGTCATCGTAGTCAAAGGAGCTTGCAAAGAAAAGCGTCTGAACTTAAAGAAGTCCAGACGCTTTTCTTTGCAAGCTCCTTTGAATATGTAAGTATGCTATCTTCGGTGCGGTGTTTAGGTATAAATCTTCATATTATGCTTCTTTATACTTTTACTCTTCTAAAGGTTCAGGTGAAATATACCTTTGACCTCATTAAATATTAGTGTTACACAGAAAATTGTAAAAAAAACCCAAACAAAACAAAACAAAAAAACAACAACTTTGATATGGACTGATATGCTGTAAAATATGATAAATACATATTTTCCACAAATTTCTGCTCTCATTTAAAGTTTTAAAATGTGTTATTTAAAAGAAAAAAAGGATTCCAATACTTCCTGTGTCTTGCTTATATCAACATATCTATATTCATCTCAGTTTAGCAAACAACCTCATTAGTTAAAGAAGCTAAATTTAGCCTTGACTTAACCATAATTGTACATTTAGTTATTAAGTTTCCTATGTGTAGATGGGATAAGGTTTAATCCTGAAGTAAGTGGATAAATAAACTAAGGAATGAATAACTAGATTGGTTAATGCACAATTCTGTTTTCTTTTTAGAATTCAAAGATTCAAATAATCCAGATAAAGAAAGATAATAGTCTCCTTATTTCTTCAAATAAACTGCTAAATGTGTTTGCTGCTCACATGCACAGCTGAAGTATGCCTAGACTTGCTTGCATCAGACCTTGGTAGATAGGAGTCTAAATTGATTGTGTATGCATCATTCAGGCAGGAAGTGCCCCCATCCCCCTCCTTTTCTCTTCCTCTCTCTCTCTTCACCCTGGCCAGTTAGACTCCTTTTTTCTCCAGCCTCTCCCTCTCATCCCTGCAGCATTGTCTCAGTTCTTCAGTCTCTGACCTTCCACAGGGACCATGCAAGCATTTGTTAGCAGGTAGGTTTCAATGGGGGGGGCTGAGTCATGCTGGTCTATTCATGGATTTTTATCATTTTCATTTTTAGATTTTCAATCTGTCAAGCAACCATTTTGGCAAGGCTCTAAGGCCTGATGTTTGTTATCTTAATGTAGAGTAACTATGCTACTCTGTGCAGGTGCTGCAGGCCTCTAAGAACTAATGTGATGGGAGCCTTGGGATTGTTGCATAGGGGGCTGAAAATTCATATTTTCCTTTCATCTATTTGATTAGTTTTTTTAAAAATGTACATTAGTAATTACTGTCTTAAGGCTGTTATTCTTGCTAACTTCTCTAGCTGATTAAAAAGAAATTGTTTGAGTATGTTGCCTGAGAGGAATAATTTGCAGTTTTTTCGCTTTTAAGAGTGGGTGGATAAAACTGAAATGTAAAACACGTAATAATACTGGTTTTCCAGCATTCACCTCTAGAACCCAGTATAGCAGAGATGGCTGCTATACTGGGTTCTAAATTCTTTTGTTCTTGATTATTTTCTTTATCAGTCGGTAGAATTATGCACATTAATGGAATCCAAGTCCTGAACTTTGCATAGACTAGATTGTGCTGCTGTGCCGAGCATCCCAATGAATCTCCGTGAACATTCAGGGTGACTCCACAACTGAAAGATCAATACCAGTAAAAGCATAGCAGAGGCAGTGCTAGCAGTTCAGTGGGTAAAACATGAGCCTCCCCACCGATGCTTGCTCAGCTTTTTATTTGTGTCTACGAAGACAGCCATAGATGTCAGGCTTGCATCTTTTCAGAGCATGTTGATTCACTGATTTCTTGTGAAAGTGGGTAGAGTAGAATGCCAGGACAGACAATTAAAAAGTACAGAAGTGTGTTCAGCTATCACAGAAAAGCTGTGTTAGCAGCTTAACATACTTGCTGTTGTAACACTGGGTCACATAAAGGGCACATAATAGTGGAATGTATTTGATTTTATCTGATTATGCTGTGTACAATTAATACTAGACATTTTTACTGAATTTCGGAAGCTTGTGAGTAGATTTGGGATTTGTTAAGGTTTGTAATGCAAATAGTCTATTATTGCTCATATATGTAGCTTTGTTTTGTTAATAATATACCTAAATAGTTAGATACTAAATTTAATGTCCCATTTGACTTGATTTAATTTTACATTTTTTAATTTAAAACATTGGTTCTTCATATGTATGACTGTGGCCTCTTGCAGACTAATTACACCTATGCATTTGTGTGTTTTTCCTGACCCAGGTCGTATCTGACCCCTGTCAGGGATGAAGAAGCAGAATCTCAGAGAAAAGCAAAATCTCGCCATGCGAGACAAACTCGCAGGTTAACACAGGTACTGAAATGGTTGACACACGTTTAGATTTCGAAAGATTTAACAAACTGTTCATACATGTGAATCTGTGTGAATATCCTGCAGGGTATGACTCCGACTGACCTGAAAGAGGCTCAGAAGATCAGCAGCCTGGAAGATGGAAAAAATGAGGATAGCAGCAGACTGGAGGACAGGTCCTGTCTGCGGATGAGCTTAACAGATGATAGAAGAGTTCAGCCTGGCGTTACAGAGTACACAGAAACAACTGATGTCAGTCTAAACTGGAGCCAAATGGACGAGGTTACAAGACAGAATTATTCAGAAATCGTTTTCTGCCTCAGATGTGGCTGATTTGAAGCTTTAGGTGAAATTTATGATTTATCTCTGTATTCTTCTTTATTTTACTCCAAATGTGAAGGAGGGTAACTTTGAAACCAGATTAGAAATCCTGCCTGACCTTCCGCACCGGCCTTACTGCAACAGCTCCTTCAGAGGTATGAAAAACATCAGAATTTCTTTTGATTGTCATGTTCTGTTGTGCTTCATGATCCATATGTTTTGTTCTGGGTTCCATAAAATATAATACAACAACATCAACAACAAAAAATGTGCTAGCAGGTCACTATGATCCAGACTGTTAGTCCACCTAATGATTTCTGGACAGTTTTGATGTTCAGGACTGTTCTTTCAATGTCATTTCAAACATGTTGTTTTTTGTTTTTAAAAAAAATAATGTGTGTGTGTGTGTGTGTGTGTGTGTGTGTGTGTGGTTTGGGAGTGGCTGTGCTACAAAATGCAGACACAGAGCACATGAATTGTGTTTTAAAACACTATTAAAGGAATGAAATCACTTTTTTTGGTTTTGAGTTGATAATGTTTAAGAAGTTTTTGAGCTCTGAGAGCTCAGACTCACGAAGACCTCAATCTGAACATTAGCCTTCAGTTTGTTAATCATACAGCATGTCTTTATTTTCCATTATTAGTATCGATCTAGTATAATAATAAAAACACACACTTCCTTTATATGTCCAGTTGGCGAGAGATGGTGGAGAGATGAAAATCAGAACATTGCAGATTCAGCACAGCTGACTCAACAAAGACGGCCCTGCATTGACACTGAAGGCTCAGACTACATTGCAAAGGTAGGTGGAAAACATCTAGCCACTTTAATTGTAATAACACACACACACACACACACACACACACACCAAGAGGCGAATGGTGGTTTCACAAAAGATTTTAACCATCTACCACTAGATGGAGTCAAAGGATAATCTAATCTATTTTTCATCCATAGCTTGTTCCAGAGGAGGCCAATATTTACAAAGCTTTTCTGTGTGATATATTGAAATTTCTTGGGAATGATTTTAAACTTAAAAATGTGATAATCAGTTCTCATGCTTCACAAAATCAAAGTGTTTTTTTTGTTTTGGCATTCATGAAAATGCCATGGAGGTATTAAATGCATCACCACTCTAATTTAAATATTGTGTGCAAGTCAATATCTGTTGGCGCCGTTGTTTCATGTTCATATTCTGTTCCTCCCTGACCTGAAAGCCGAGTGTGCTTCAAAGGCAGCTGCGCTCTGATCTCTGATGCAATATTTTAAGAAGTACTGCAATCACAAATGTCGAGCATGTGTTCACAGAGTACCGTAACTAGAAGTGCTGGATAATATCTCACAGAAAGATAGTCTGGATAGCCAACCCCCCACTCTCTTTAAGTCATTTTGATTCTTCACATCACATGGCTGAGGTGTCTCAGCATTCCATACCATATTGGGCAAAACTGAGACGCTCTCCGTTTAATCTTACCCTTGGATTCAGAGTGATTGGCTTTCCTTTCTCCTTTAAATTCTTAACTATTACTGTTCTCCCTCCACCTTTATGCTATCAGTGAAACACCCCTGACAAAAGCACTGACAAATTTAATCACCAATTACTCCTACTGGGTAAAATCTGTCAATTCACTTATTAAGTTTCCCTTTAGATAATCTAGCCATCTGAGAAATGGAAGCAAAGGGGACACATAGATGACAAGGCTTTGACTTATACAAGAATAGATGATTATGAATGTACTAGGTGTAATACAGTATGAATGGAAAGTGGTGTCCATGTGAGCTGACTCCAGGTCAGAGATTTGGCTGTAACCCTGTGCTGGAATCTGAAACAGAGATCTGTCAGTAATACGAGAGTATCTCAGCAGATACTATATCTGTCTGTGATAATCATACAGAGCAGTGAGGTTTTACCAGAAGCTAGACAGGCTGCCCATCAATAGAGTCGACCTCTGCGTGACTCCATGATTATCGGAACAGATTTTCCGCAGTTCTTTTTATGATTTTTTCCAACAACAGACAAAAAGACAGGTGCAGAGTGAGACAACATAGAGATTCTGGTACTTAAGGGTGACAAGCAGAGATAGCAAGAATGCCGCTTCAAACATACCTCTTTTTATCCTGGAATACATTATGAAATTTGATCTGAGTGGTAGTCCAAACTTAACTTCCACATTTCTGCTATCACTCAGGGGATCTTTGGTAGCCACTTATTTTCTGCTTTACTAAAATGCATGAGCATAGCATCCCATATGGAATATCCTAAGGCTAAGGGTGAGGATCATACAGAAGGAACTCCAGCTGGGCTAGATTTTTAACACAACTATCCAAAACCAGTGCCAGTGTAGTTTAATGTCTTATTTCCGGAGGGTTTCCAAGTTAGAATGTTTAATGTAAATATACTGCTAGACTATTCTAACTAATACCTAATTCCAATATCAGTTTTGTTAGAACTTACAATCCATGGTATTTGTCCTTAAAATTCAAGCACTGTAAAAGTTAGAGATGCAAGCAATGGTACTTAGGTTGGAAAATTAAGACCTGTTAGATTTCTAGTCTGGGTGACTTTCCAGCCTTAAACCAAAAGCCACAACACATCAGCTTCTCCGCTTCTCTTTAATTCTCCCCTGTGTCTGTGCTCAGTTTCTTGCAGTCCTATCTTGCCTTCTATCTATTTGCCCTGAGCAAGGATGAGGGAGTATAGAGAACCGTGAGGTGCTTGCGTACCTCACTATAAAAGGAAGACAGCAATGAGCCAGCTTGAGCTGACTATGAAATTAAGGGGTTACTGCTGGGTTGTTTAAAGGAACAGTTTGACATTTTGAGAAATACCCGTGTTCATTTTGTTGCCAAGAATTAGGTGAGAAGATTGATGCCACCTGTATGGTCAACATGAAGTCAGAGCCAGCGCTGGATTACCTTAGCTTAGCAGGGGAAAGCGGTGAACACTGTTTGGTTCTGTCCCCGCTGAGCCTCATTAGTTAAAACATAAATTTTGTTTGTTTAACAACCAGAGAGAAAAAAGATTAACAAAATAAGATGTAACATGTTAATTAGAGCGTTTTAGAGATGCTGGGAGGCAGGTTTAGAATCTTTGAACAGAGCCAGTCGAACTGTTTTTCTGTTATTCGAGTGTTTTTGCTATGCCAAGTTAACAAGCTGCTGGCTGTAGCTTCACACAAGTCTGAGAATTCAGTTAGTCTTTTCAAATAACTTCTGACAAGAAAGCAAAAATTTATATTTCCCCCAAAATGTCCAACTATTCTTTAATAAAATGTTGACTTTTTATAAACCTGTCTATCAATAGGCAGGTTTATAAAACTAAAACTAAAATCAATGCGGCTGTGGGCAAAATGAAACAAGATTTCAGTTTCAGGAAGAGGAGATGTGTCACAAATGCTCTGTGTTAACACTGTGTAGCACTAATACTGGCAACGTCCCCTCTCCATCACACTGTAGGGCGCACAGAGTTACTTGACACTTTACAGTTGTTGATGGCTCCTCAGGTGATACTGCGTGTTGACCTACCAGGACACAAATTGCTTCAGCCCCCTCCTGACTCTGGCTTTGTGCTCCACCTCCTCTTATCCCTGCTCACATCGGTGGACAATTTTTAGCCCTCAGTGCCGAGTCTGTCCATAGCAGAGCCTCTGGCAGGCTGCCACAGAAAGCTGCCAAAGCTGAAGAGAGCCGGGAGAAGCAGGGGGCTGGGGGTTGGGGGAGCAGAGGGACCGAGAGGGTGACCAAATAGTGAAAGGAGCAGAAGAGAGAGAGAGAGCAGGAGAGGGAGGGAGATGGCAGAGAGTGTATAACTTTGGGGAACTCAGGAAGAGGCAGCAAAGGGAACAAACTTTTTCTCTCTTGTCTTGTTTTGGACTTTTGTGCATTTCATAGCGGACTTCAGTGCTGACAGAGCAGAACAAGGGATACTCATTTGTTTGCTTTCTTCATTGAATTGTTCTTTTTCTTTAGATCTCCAGAGATTATTTTGTTTTGTGGTTCTTTTTAACATTTTTATCTGCTTGTTGTTTAACTGCCTGAGATTTGAAGAAGGCGTGACCACACATTTGAAATCCTTCCAGATTTAGCAGCAACTGTGTCCACTTCTGGGACGTTTGTGGCTGCACTGAAACACCAAACAGACATATAAACACACACACACACACCACACACACCTGTTGTTGCTGAGGATTCCCCAGGAGCACGGTCATGGACATCTGTGTCCCTGTTGCTTGAGGGAATCTGTGCGTGTGTGCAGCTGTTATCTGGTGGTGGCCTCGGTGAATGTTACAGTAGAAGCTGATCTGCCTGTCCGGGGTAGAGGAGGGAGATGTCATCCTACTACCCACGCACCAAGGACCTGACTCGCACCAGGAGGTCACTGACAGAATCGCCACCATCGTCTCCGTCCCCTACAGAAAAAAACTACAGAGTAAGCTTTATTTCTAGAGCGGTGCACCTTTGCAGGAAAAACTGAATGTGATACTTTTTTGTGATATTGTAGCAATTTTTGGTAATTTATTCCAGTGGCTTTAAATAACTTTAATATCACAACTCTTAGTTTATCTTACTCTTTATTTATCTGTAAAGGGACTTTATAGTATGATCCCTCTGTAAAGTCAAAGAAAGAATAGTATTTTCTGTAGAAGTTGATGACTAATCCTTAGACCAGGCTGATTTGTTGATTCGTCTAAGACAACTGGACGCATCATTAAGCAGCTTTTTAAGAGTTCGGACAATTAGCTAAAGAATTTGTCAGTTAATTTATTAGATTTTTTTGACTTTGAACAATAGATATATATTATAGCAGTATATATGTTTGGACATCTGCTGTTGGCATACTAACAGAAAAAAAACATCATTATATGATCAACAGGCTAATAGTTCATTTACTAATGTGTATTTGCCTAACTCTTCAGACACTTATCACAGCTTATTTGCTGGCTTGTGAAAGCGAGGCAAGTATTTGCTCTGAAGCAGAGTCTGACCACATTTTCTGGAAAAGACTTTTGGATTGAAGCATTCCTTCTGTAATTTCCTGTTATTTTTTTTCTGCCTAAGTGGCTTATTCTCACGGGCGTAGTTTGACTGTTTATGTCAGTGCATCAGACTGAGCTGAACTCTGTGTGACAGGCACATTTAAAGGGAAAGAAAGAAAAGAGGTGGGGAAAAAACCCAAACACAATGGGATCCTGTCTGTTTTGAAGCACGTACAGTAATGTCACGCAACACTACAGACACACTCATTATTATTGCACTGTTGCCAGCAGCGAATGCCTCTGGTGGATGTTTGGATTCTTTTGCTCGCATTTCAACAAGTGTCAGTCTCTCTCTGCCGGGGAAACTCTGGCTTTAATTTTCCATGAAGCCAGCCCAATCTGAATTGGCAGTGTGTTCCTGGGAGAGAAAAAGCCGTGGAGTCAGGTTGATGCAATAATTGTACCAATGTAATATGTGTTACAGCTGTGTGCAGCAGGAAGTCAAAGTAAACAGGAACACATTTGCATTATTGGCAGACACTCAACATTTGTCAGATGTTCACAGTGGTGAAATGTAAGTAAGCACATTAAGCCACGTGCTGTACAGAAGGAAGAATTTAGGATAGCTGAGATAGTCAGATCAGATAGTTTCTGCTACTTCTGCTTCATTATGTTTCTGGAAATATGTGCTCTCCATTCCCCCGCATTCAGAAATCATAGCCCACTAGGTTTATTTCAAATTAAAACATGCTTGAATATGCAAACGAGTAATTGCACTAGATCCAAAACACTTTTCCTGTAAAAATCTCTGCAGGTCCACAGAAAGATAAAAAACATTACCTGATGTTCCACGAAAAGCAAAGACTCAAATTAGTCCCCCCATTAATAATTTCACACATTTGCTTTATCGTGTGATGCTATTGTGTGAAGAGATAGACCACTTGGGTAAGACTCACTAAATGTAATCGTAATACATATGAATTAATGCATCGATTGTAACACATGTCGTAATAGGCAGTAATGTTTCCAAGTACTGTTACTCAAGAAAAATAACCCATTTCCTAATTTGATTTGGTCATTTTGAAAACAAGGAAGATACTCTTGGTTGCCTGGAGCTCTGAGATGTTGTGTAAAGAGTTAACACTGTAGAGAGGGAGAACTGGCTGAAGTAGGGAAAGGTGAGTGAATGCGGAAGATTCTTTTATGAGTTTATGTGTGTGTAGTGTAGTGTCATTTGCACTGGTGTAGCTCAGATTTTCCTACTGTAGTCGACTAGCCTGCTCTGAAGGAGTGATGCTGTGGCAGAAAGTGGAAAGGAAGAGAAGGCAGTGAGGAGTGTGAAGAATCTGCTAATTATGATTTTCTTGGCTGACGTTAGCCTTATCATTTATACGCTCTAGCAGTGAGCTCATGCAGGTGGCTTGCGTGTGTATACTTCTGATGATGTTGATCCAGGCAAGCTAATAAAACTGGAAACAGTTCTGTTTACCGGGTGCCCATGGTAAAGCCAACACTGTTTCTGAGGCTGTTTTCACCAGTCTGACACACTCTTGTTCATCTCCTCCTCCTCCTTCTGCTCTGCCTTGCTAAGTTACATGTGGCACTTCTTCCTCCCTCAATTTCTCCTAACAAGGCAATCAGATTGGTGCAGCTGCCATCACAAGTAGAATTCAAACTATGGCTCATTTTCTGGCTTCGGTTCAATGTGGATGTTATGCGTTTATTGGTCGTATAAGGACTTGCTCATTTTTTCCCAAAAATCTGGCAGTGTAATCCCCACAGGGCCCACTCAAGGTTTAAAGTATTAAGTTAAAAAAAAAAAAGCCTAATTTCCCCAATTTCCTAATCCTTTAGTGTGAAATAGGTTTGCGTTCAGTTTGGTTCATATCTCCAAAAGCAGGCTTCATGAAAATGCATTCTTACAACTTGCTGCTTAATGAATGATTACACAATCTGATTGAGGAATCTCCTTGCTATTGCACAAAGAGATCGGAGTGAGTGAGAGCTCTTCTTCACTCCATCCTTAGCCCTTTTTTATCTGAGGTCAGGGAGGTCTGTTTTTTTCCTGGATAGCTCAGCTGAAGCACATGACCACATAAGGACAGGCAGCAGTGGCTCAGTTATGTAAACACTTGCTGAGGAACAGCTCCTACGATGCTGTGTAAAATCTCCTCTTAACTCACTAAATCTGAATGCAGGAATACCCACTGCTTTTAACATATACTGTTTTTCTAAATCATTCTTTTAACATCTGCTTCTTGTCTCAAACAGCTTAGACCACCACACTTGATTTTTATTGCCAAACATTTCTAAACACAGGTGTTCAAAGATTTCTTTGCCTGGCTGGAGATCAACTTCAAATCTATGAATTTAGGGAAGTTTTACGAGACTGCAGCAGAGATCACGGATCAAGCTGGTCTCACATCATGGCAGCCTCTCTCACTATAGTACTTGTTGTTTCCAGTCTGGTATGAACAGTGAAAAAAAATTCTTCTCATCATCTCATAACCACATTTATCGGCTGAAGGCAGCAAGTGTTTGTTTAGTTCAGTTTTGTTTAGGGCTCTCTGCAGTCATTTGACAAACTAAGTATGGAGATTAAATATGGGGTGAAATTCTTGGATAGGCCAGTGCAATGCAAGGCTCAGTCAGTATGATAGCTGGTATTGACTATTTGAAAACAACTGAAGACGTATGGGTTTTGTTTTAAGACTTTCTAGGAGAAAGCCCGTTCTTTCAAAGAAAGAACATGGCAGCATCCAAATGTGAGGCTTTCTGTCTGACGGCTACAGCTTGGCCCAAACTGGGTCACACAACAGGTCAATGATCCCACACATGCCAACGAATCTGAAACAGAAGCACAGAATCAAGGCGTTTCAATGGCACCGTCACAATCCAGACCTCAAACTGATTGACACAACGCAATGGGACCTTAAAAGTGTTTTGCATAAACAGGTACCGTCCGGCTTCAGTGATCTGAAGCAACGGTGCAAAGAAGACTGGACAAGAACTCCTGCACAACAATGTGAGAGACTAATAAACTCATAGAGAAAACAGTTAGTTCAAGTTACAGCTGCTAAAGGTGATTCTACAAGCTACTGGATCATGAGGCGTACTTAGTTTTTCACAGAACTGCAGAGTCCCATAGTGTAAACGTTCTTTTTCACGTGACTATGAAGTAATGCAGAAAGGCAGTCAATAGCCATAAAAAATAGGTCCCTTAAAAGGGACATCTCTGAGGTTACGTAATTTCTGAAAACAGAAACCAAATACAGCCAAAGAACAGTATGTATACGCAACTCCTCATGTCGCACAGTGCCCAGGCTGCTTGGTGAAGTGGAAACAAACACAGAATGTGATCACAACAGGCAACTTGGCAGCCACTTAGACTGGGCTAGTCATAGCAGGGAGCTGCCAGGACAGTTTGATATCAGACTGTTGTCTGAGGTCAGATGGCAGCCTGTCATGCAAGGAATACTTGACTTCTGATGTCATTATGTCATATTTGTGCTGCAGGCATGCTCATTTCAGCAGCGTATTTCAAAAGATTAACCAGGCTCACCGGGGAGGTTTGACCTCTGCGAACCCTGTCAGAGCAGTGTTGGGGAGAATTGTATCCTACTTCTATATGCACTTCTTCCATCTGGGACCAAAGGTGTCCGAACATAGTTTATTTATTTATATAGCACATTTAATTACAACAGGAGCGTTGACCAAAGTGCTGTACAAGAATACAAAATACCTAATAAAATAACTTAGAATATTGATAGCAAACATCAAATATGAATTAACAAATAACTCTCATGCTGTATTAAAAGCCAGTAAATAAAAATGTGTTTTAAGATAAGATTTAAAAAGATTGACAGTAGGAGCCTGTCTGATGTATAGGGGTAAATTATTCCACAGCTTAGGCGCTACGACTGCAAATGCTCGATCGCCTCTATGAACCAGCCTCGACCTTGGTACGGCTAAAAGCAAAAGATCACTTGATCTAAGAGATCTAAAGGGGGTATAAGTCTGCAAGAGGTCAGAGAAATACCCGGGAGCCTGTCCATTCAGGGCTTTGCAAGTCAACAATAAAATGTTAAAATTAATTCTGAAGTGGACAGGAAGCCAATGAAGAGAGGCAAGCACCGGGGAAATGTGTTCACATCTTTTAGTACGTGTCAGAAGACGAGCTGCAGCATTCTGGACCCACTGCAGCCTTGCCAGGCAGGTCTGGCTAACTCCAGCATATAAGGAGTTACAATAGTCCAGCTGGGATGTAATACAAGCATGAGTCGCATGTTGTGATAATTCAACTGGAAGTTTTGTTTTTGTTCTCTGCTGTCTCAAAATGGAAAATATTTCTCAGCCAAGCCTTTGTTTGGTGATATCAAATGAACAGGACTCGATCTAACCGTGACAGAATATTTTCACAGTGTGATGTTTCCATGCTGCTAGTCAAACTAACATGGCTTATTCCTTGTTTTTCAGCATGACAGAGTGTCAAGGTAAGATTTGGGCTTTTTTCTTCTGTATTACAGAACTGTAACAGGTAAGAGGAAAAAAACACTGTAGATAAAGCTGCCTTGCAGACTGGCTAAGAGCTGTGTTGCCTCTAGATTTGATTCCATTGGAGAGAGTGCTACAGACAAGTCACTGGGCCGTACCAGCTCATACACACGCAGAGAGGCAAGGCTGGCTGCACTGAATAAACAGGAACAAGACTCCACTGCCAAAGACTATAAGAAGGTAGTAACTCTTTTCTCAGTTTCAAAAACACATTCTAATGTTACTGATTCAAAGCTGCAGTCCTGGATACAATTTGCCTTTATATTTATGCACATTGTATCTATTTGTCCCAGTAATATAACTGGGCTTTCATGGGATTACGAGTGTCAGAAAGGAACTTCTGACCTGTAATTGTATTTTACTATTGTAATATTCCCTATTCAAGTATTTGCAGAAATTAAGGTATGTCTTACTGAGATTGCATCAAACCAGTATATGGAACTATGAACCTGCAATGCCACTATACAGTAAGAGTGGCAATACTGTTGACTTCATGTTGTCATGGTGGGGATTGATGTTGTATTTGTGGAGCGGACCCAAAAACAGACACAGGAGAAATGAGCTGATGATCAAACAAAAAGCGAGCCTTTATGCGGCCGATACAAAAAACTGAAAAACAAGGCGATGCGAAAGTAAGCTGAAACCTAAACTGGGGCAAAACTAAACTAACTGTGAAAACAATGACGAGAGACAAGAACATGAAACTAAACAGGAACATGTGACAACGTAACTATGAAATAAATCAAACACGAGCATGAACACGGACTTGAACAGAGGGAGGCAAAAACTCTGTGACTTGACGTGACCTGACATGAAGACAGACAGATGAACCAACAAAGAACAGAGGGAGACAGAGGACTTAAATACACAGGAGGGTAATGAGGGAAGTGGAAACATCTGAGGAGACACAGCTGATAAAAATGACATGACGCCACAGGGAAAAGTAAAACTAAACACACTGAACATGGAAACACCAGAGCTTTCAAAATAAAACGGGAAACATGGAGAGACATGAACATGTAAGGTTTTTGAAGAAGCTAACAGTTCTATATGTACTTTTACTACATTTACTTAAATAGATGTTGACAGGTGATGCTAACCCTAACCATAAACATACCCGAACATTATTATTTTTAAGACCGACAGAGACAGAGGCCCCCCTTCCCCCTCCTTGAAATTCGCCCAAGTCGAAAGTGGCTCCATAGTCTACTGGTTTACACATTTACTGGGAGGAGGCACAAATTCCTTTGGGGTTGCATCAGGAAGGGCATTACAATTAGTTTACAGTTGTGATAAGCATTCATCACCATCATCCTTTTAGGTTAAACATGATCAGATATCAACAAAAAATGCACACTCAGTTTGGTCATGTCACAGTCAGAAACAAAAGAAGTAACGTTATGTTAGGTTTGGTTTTTTTTTTAAAAAGCTTTTGCTATTGTGAAAAAATAAATTGTATGTATGTAAATATAACCGATGATCTTACATATTGTTTGAGTTGTGTGGTTCAACTTAAACTGTCTGTTGTTACTCCTTTTATGCCTTGTATCTTCATTAATATTTTGGTTATCAAAATTCAAATACTCCTTTTCACTCCTACACAAATAATCCTTTTCTTAACATTTTAGATGTATGCAGAAGCTTTGCATGAAAATGCAAAACTCAAGTCCAGGTTGCAGGAGAGCAAACAAGAGCTAGCCAAGATACGTTCCCAACTGGAGAAAGTCACTCAGGTACCTTTGGCCCATTCTACAGAAAGCTCACATTCATCCCTTCACTTCCTGTGTGCTTGAAGAAAGGATTTGACTTTTTACTTCTTCAGTGAAGTCATGATTAAAATTTAAACCCGTTCTTCTAATAAATTTCTCCTAATAACATTACCCCTGTTTTAGAGACACGACACAATATCTGAAAGATCTTCAGCACTTGAATCGGAAAAAAGGGTAAGTGTCTTAACAACCTTCTCCTTGATAATACTACATATCTTTGCATTCTTTCCAATCAGTTTCTTTGTCTACTTCAAATTATAGTCTTGTAGCCTTTCATTTTTCCAGTAGAACTTACTTCAGTTTTTTTTTTTTTCTTCATTTACAGGAAAAACAAACCCTTGAGAAAAGAGTGTCAGACATGGAGGAGGAATTAAAGGTCAGTCCATGCAAAAACAGTGTGTACTCACTTAAATTGCATCTATTTTGTCTCAGACACAAGTTGTGCTTAATTTGTCTCATTGATGTTTTCTCCCCAAAAAACATTATAATACTGATAGTCCTTGCCGGTACCTCCAGCCAAGCCCCTCTCACTCATTCTAAATCAAGCACACCTAAAGTATTTTTACAGAGCAGAACACACATATCGCTCACTGCAGAGTTGTGGTTAGCCAGGTGGGTTTGGAGTCAAGGAGAGAGAAGGTTAGTGCTTCAGGCTCATTACCCACAGTGTTCTGCTGGGCCACTTCCTGCCAGGCTAGGGAGGAGCCTGTGCTGCTGCTCCCCTGCTCCACTTATCCCACTGTTGGGGTGAACATTGTGACCTAGTTCCAGCTGAATACCAAACCCTATCCAAGAGCAAAAGACCTGCTTTTGTGAGACATTCCTGTGTTGCTCTGTGTGTATTCTGCCTCACAAAAAAACACAGGGCACAACTACAAAGAGATGTCAGGCCTGAGTAAAAATGGTCTGCAATTTATGTGGAAGCAATTACAAACTACATGATAAGATTATAATTTGATTACTCGAGAGAACCAACCAGTATAAAATAAACTGTGGAAAAAATACACAAAACTAGTTAAAGTAAAATGTCAATAAAAACACTCTGCAATGATTTGCAAATCTTGTGAGCCTGTATTTTATTCACAATTGAACAAAGAAAACATTTCCTATTTCATTAAAAAATATTAGCTCATTTTGAATTTAATGGCAGGAACACATCTCAAGACAGTCTGAATGGGGCCAACAAAAGGCTGGAAAATTAAGTGATATTAAAATGAACCAGCTGGTGGAACAATTTGCAAACTAATTAAGCGACAGGTCAGTAACATGATTGTGTAAAAACGAGCATTTTAGAGCGGCAGACGTTCTCAGATGATGGCATTGGTTTACCAACCTGTGTCTGCAAATTGTGCGATTTCAGGTTAATGTTTCTCGACGTTAAAATTACAAAGACTATGAATATCTCGCCATCTAAAGTACATAATATCATCAAAAGATTCAGAGAATTTAGAGAAATGTCTGTGCACATGGGACAAGGCCAAAAGTGTTACTGGGAATCTGTGATCTTCGGGCCTTCAGGTGGCACTGAATTGAAAACAGGCATGAAATCACTGACCTCAGGAACACTTCCAGAAATTACTGTCTGTGAACACAGCATGCCATGACTGGAAATGGAATTGGCAGTTTGCACATAGGGAAAGGCATAATCACTGCTGAATAGTACATACAAGTTTTAAAGCAACAATCAGGGAGCCCCTTGCATATTTCAGCAAGACAATGGTAAACTGCCTACTTCCCCTGTTACAACAACAACAACAAGGCTTTGTAGTAAAAACATCCAAGGGCTGAACTGAGCTGCCTGCACTGAAAACATTTGGTGCATCATGGAGCTAAAAATACCCTGGACTGTTGAACAGTTAGAGCCATATATCAGACAAGAATGGGACAGTATTCCTCTCCCAGAAGTACTACACTGGTCTCCTCAATTCATGTTTATGGACTATTATTAAAAGGAGAAGGGATGCTTTTTTTTTTTCATTAAAGTTGTCTCAGTTCAAACACTGACATGCTTTCCGTGTTCTGTTGTCACTAAAATGTGGGTTATGAGATTTGCAAATCTCTGCATTTTATTCTTGTAAAACCCAACTTTTCGGGAATTTGGTTTGCATAACATATGCAGAATTCCAACGTACAACAGCAGGGTGGTATATAAGCAGCAGATGTTTGACCCCCGTATTGTCATGGTTCCTTCAGCAGGATGCCCCACTGCGGTTTCGCTGTGGGTACCAGCCCTGAGGGCAAGCTGTCTCAGGGAAGGGGGGACGGTGAGTGGTTGCTATGATACAGAGGTGTGACTGATACGTACCTATCACCTCACATGTTTCTGTTGTGCCAGAGATTGGGGCATGTTTACACATCTGGACTTTTTTATCCTCTCAACAGTAGCTTAGAGCGTAAAAGCTTTGGGAGCACATCACCTCAGAGAACTGGCTTGCACTCTCTCACAAAGTCACTTCTTCACTTTTAGCAAGTATCAGATTCTCCACATGGGGGAGCTGTTTCATTGCTGCCACATAAGTATCAAATTGCACCACCTACTGGAAAGGAAAAATAACAGTAGCCTTTAAGAGGTATAGATGTGTCGAAAAAAGATGTTTATGCGGTTATTAAAAAAAATGCAATAAAATAAACAAAATCAATGAACTGCAGTTGTGACACTCAATGACCACAAGTGTCAGAATTCCTGAGCAGGTTACTCTCTGTTCCTATAAATGATACATAACAGCACATCTTTGCCTTTGCTTGCTGTAGTTACTTTTCTTGCAAATAGGGGTGCATTTTGGGTTTTTGGGCTACCCGCCCTGTAGTTCTGCACTTAATTAGCCTTAGTTATGGATTTTTCACATCAACAGCACTGTGTGTCCATCTTCCCTCTTAAAATAATGGGAATGTGGTAATACTCAAAGTGTCAGATTACTCTGCTGGGATGGAAAAGCTCAATTATTCTTGACAGCCTCTAAACCTAATGAATAGTAACTCTGTAGAAATTATCCCTTAGAACCTGAGAGTGTAGTCAGATCTGATTTAATATCAAACAGCTCAATATTAAAAGAGTGTAATAAGGGATACTGGTCATTATGCATCCTCGGCTCACTGTGTCCTTTTCTTCACCACAGCCAAGGGCACCTTTCCAAAAAACTGCGCTGTTTTAATCCAAGAGAACATTTAATGCATGAACTGAAAAGTCCCCAAACCAGGCAGCTTTCATAAATGTGTGCAAGGCGAAGCTGGGTGTCCTTGTTTATATGTCATGCTTTGCCACATTCACCTCCACAAACTTGTCTGTCTGGGTGGCTGAAATGCCACAAGTGCCCTGAATAATGTGTATATGTGTGTGTGTCTGGTCTGCGGTTTACCTTCAGCAATGGTGTCAAACCACAGACAGCTATGTCGAACCACATTGAGGTTTACCTCAAAAAAGTCAGGCCAGGAAGAGGGAGGAAATGAATGATTTCCATTCCTTTGACTTTTATCTGGAGAGGCTCTTGTGCAAAGGCTAAAATATAGCAGCGTTCATTATTTTCTCTCTTTTTTTTTAGCTTTCTGTGAATTTTATTCCATCTTCTTTGCAGTTCTATGCATATAATAATAAGTCAACACCTCACTTCTTCCCAATAAAGCCCGCCTTTGATGAGCACAAATCCAAGTAGAACTGGCTTCATAACTTTCCTCGCTTTGTTGCAGCTTATGGTATTTTCTCTCAAAATATCTCTGTTGTGTAAATATTTGTTTATGTAAGTATTTCTGATAAATCCCTCAGCTCTGCTTCTTTGATTTCCCCTGTCTATGCTGCTGTGTGGGTGCATGCCTGTATGTGCGGATATGGCTGCAGTCTCTTTATGAGTATCTCTCTGTGCGACATGGCCTGCTCCCCGCATGCTCTCTCTGTCTGCCCCTCTCTGTATCTCTCTGCTCCTGTATGCAGGCTTTCCCTGCTCTGGCTCAGGTCCAGACCTTGCGGAGAGTGAACGAGTGTCTCCTGGCTGAAAATAGAGCCATGCTTCGCGTCCTCGCCCGCCTCTCTGAGACGGCCTCGATGCCGGAGACAGAGGACCTCTGATCCTCTGAGACCTTTCCCCCTTCCTCTTCTCCCCTTCCTCAGCCACATAATTTCTACTTCTCTTTCCTTCTGGTGCCTCTACAGCCCCTTCAACCTCTGCTGTGTTCCTCTCAGGCAGGTCTTGCACTCTCTTGATGCTCACGCTTTCCTCCCACCCGTCTCCCCCCCACACACACACTGCAATGCATCCTCCTGTGCACTTTTTTTTAAAATCTAATCTCCTTTATGGTCTAGACCAACCCTGAAGCCCCCTTTTCTCCAAAACAGTTGTCACAAAGCCTTGTTTGAAGTTTAATTTTAGGTAGATTTGTGTGGCATGCTAGAAATGAACACTGTGTTTTAAGCTGCATTTATTTATTTACATAGGGGTTGCCATTTTGCATAAACACCTAGGACTCTGCATCATGAAAAATAGAAGCACCTTGTGAGCACCTTTTATTTTTACAATTAAATATATTCAAGTCCTGCGCAATGTGCTGTGTAATCAATGCTAAGTTGTTTTCCAAGGTAATAGCCACTATTGAATCTTCCAAAGGAAATGAAACGTGTCAGATCATTAGCCTTGAAAATGAACACGTGCTTTGTCACTGGATGAGACAGGGGTGCAGACGTACCAATAATTTTGTATGTTTTTGCTAATGAGCAGTGGATGTGAAATCATTAGGTATCATTAGGCATTTTGGGGAAATAAGCCCAATGGCCTTTTTTTGTTTTCTGAGAGTTAGGATCGATTCTACTCTAAAGTCTGTATGGCATATTTACTGTTGGAAACAAATGGAAACATCTCACCAGCTAATCAAATCAAACCCCAAGAAACACACCTTGCAGTCTGATAATGGTTTAACGATTTTTAGGGACAACAAAATTAACTTTAGCAAAGATTTTTTAAAGTTATTGCAAAATGTTTCAATTTAATGATTAAATGACTAATATTTGCAGAGCTTGACAAATTATTTGTTTTACTTACAGAAAAAAAAAACCAAAGCCATAGTAGACTTGCCATAAATTAGTGTGGAATAACAAGTAAATACTGATTTATTTTCTTGTCCAAAGTAGTTAGAGTTTGGCATCTAGCCTGCAAGCTCATCACTAGCTACAAATACTGTATTTTTTTATTTCAAATTTCTGGTTAGTGACTAAATATTCATAGAAGGGTCTGCATGTGGAGGCTGGGGTGGTGGAGGGGTCAACACTAGCACTTATATGTAGGAGTAAATAATGGGAAATTTTTCTGCTTAAACAAAATGCCAGATTGTGAGGGTGTAATTGGTGCATGACACAAGGAGAGTGAAACACATTTCAGTGTATATAATATAGCGCAGGGGTAGGCAACTCGAGGCCTCGAGTGCCAGTGTCCTGCAGATTTTAGATATCACCCTGTGTCAACACACCTGAATCAAATGGTTAGTTCATTCCCAGGTCTCTGAACAACTTCAAGACATGTTGAGGAGGTAATTTACCCATTGGAATCAGCTGTGTTGGATCAAGGACACATCTAAAACCTGCAGAACATTGCCACTCAAGGCCTGGAGTTGCCTACCCCTGATATAGCGCTACCTTGTATGCTTTACTTCAATGGTGTCCCACTCCGGGCCTCAAGGTCCGGTGTCCTGCAGGTTTTAGATCTCACCCTGGGTCAACACACCTGAATCAAATAATTAGTTCATTACCAGGCCTCTAGAGAACTTCAAGACATGTTGAGGAGGTAATTTAGCCATTTAAATCAGCTGTGTTGGATCAAGGACACATCTAAAATCTGCAACACCCACCCTTGAGGCCTGTTGTTGGACACCGCTGCTTTCCTTCATTCTTGGAAATATTTTTCATGCTGTCTAAGCAGGTGTTTAATGAATAATACCACAACATTTTCATTTCATCTTTTGTACAGATTAAACAAACAGTTTTAAAGGTGCTAACAGGAAAATTGCTTGCCTTTTATTCATTAATGCTTATCTTGATTAACAGCCCGCTGATAATTTATCGGTCATCTCATCTAGCGTATTCCAAAACTTTTAAACTATCATTTAATTTTTAACTTACAACATAGGATTGTCAGCACAGTGGGGCTTTCACTCTCACTTTATGGATTAATATTCAACATATTGGGCAGGAACATGTTGATGTAAGACGTCTCTGCTCACGCAACGTGTCCCAGCTAGCGCAGAAGGTTATTGTTTGTCTCCAGTAGAGGGGAAATACTTTGACAAAGAGGGTGGTTATTTTTAGTCATTGCTTCTCATGAGAGACATGACCTAGATTTGGGGAATTGACCCTCCCTCACTTTCCTTCTCTCTGACTTCATTCTCTGTCACTTTTCACATTCAGGACATACTGTCACTGTCACACCACACTGCATGATCAAGTACTGCAGAGCATGTCCTCATTGCCTGACTTTAAACTTCAGTGAAAGATAACTTTAGTGGTGATTAAAGTTGCAGTGGATAGTCCTGGTTTAAGTCACAAAGATGTCAAGTAACCATTTAAATGACACAGCAAAAGCTGTATATTTCCCTGGTTTTCTAATATTGTTTTCTCCCTCTCTTTTTCTAGGTCTTAACAGAGCTCAAGTCAGACAACCAGAGACTAAAGGATGAAAATGGTGCTCTCATTCGAGTCATCAGCAAACTGTCAAAATAAAAAAAAAGATGTCCGATGCTCCTCTTGTGTGTCTGTGGACGCTCCAACCCTGAAATAGCAGTGTCGTTATCCACAAGGTCCCAGGTTTTGACTCGTATCTGAGTTACTGTATGGTGACAGGCTAGTTTGGTTGCATTTTCAGAAACATCCTAGTAATTCCTGTTAGAACTTGTGAAGATCCAAAGAGAAGTGTTGGCAAGCTTCAGTTAATTTTACCATTATTAAAATTAAAGTTTCAACTATTTTTATTTTTTTCCTTCATTATATGTTGTTTGTTTTAGGAATATTTGTCACATGTATGAAATAGGGACCAGGTGTACTGTTGACATTTCAAATCCAAACAAATGCATTAGATTGCGTGAGGCTACTGTACCTAATAATATGCCATATAACATTTGGACACTTTTACTTTGGTTGTTACTTGTGCACTCCATAATCGTGTTTTAATATGTTTTTTATTTGAAAGAGAAGACAGTCATTGACTTAGACTGTTTGGAATCGTAGCTTTCCCCTTTATTATGATGTGTGACGTTAAAGACGTTAAAAACTTATCACAAAAACACTCTAACTTGCTTTCACTATAGGCTAAAGATAGTGAAGCTTCATAAAATGCATGTTTTGGGGTGTGTTTGCTTCAATTGACAAAATTCTCAGGTTTGTCACTCAGCCGTTGCTGCTCGCCACAGTTGACTGCCTCGCAGATGTGGATTTCTTTGGAAGTCTGTGGGTGTTTTTCTACGGTTGCAGGGATGCATGAATGTGATGCACTTGACAAACCTTTGGAAAAACTATCATTCTAACAGGTCAGACACACATTTTAGTCCAATTTTCAGCTTTTTTAAAATTTGCTAATACACATTTGAGTTTAATTTACCTAGTATGCAAAAAATGTAACATGTATATGTGGGCTTGTTAAAGGAGACTGTACAATAGGCATGAAAGGCTACTTTGTACATGCACATGTTAACAGTGCTGCTGTTATTAGCAGCCCCGTGACACATTCAAAATGGTACACTTTCTGAGAGGAGATGATATTAATGTTTGTCACACTTTCCTTTTTTGTGTTTTCAGCTGCCTTGCTTTTTTAAATGCACGTTCTTCCTAGAGGATATTTTTATTGAGCTAGTATCTCATTTTGAAAACAAATGAATGCCTGAAGAGAGAGACACCCCGAGTGCAAATGAAAATGCCGTATATATTTTGTTTTGTAATAGATATATATTTATTTATTTATGGATGTGTTAGTTTTAATCATTATATTTTGCCTAGTCAGTTTTGTTTCAAATGAGTACACTGATTATTTAGCTGACCCGTTGGCCTTCCTGTCATTAGGCGATTAAAATACAAACACCAGAATTGTGCACTTCCTTGTTATCATTGCCCTGTGAGCCTTCACATTAATTGGGTGGCCTTAAAAATCAGCAAAAGCCAGCGCTGTGAAATGTGAACTGTTATCAGCTCTTTTATTCTGTAATGATTTCTCACCATTTTAATAGGTCTGCAGTTGTTCAAAGACTTTGTTGCCAATTTATAAGGCACACCTAGCTTCAGAGCAAGCCTGTACTGCAGGCCTTTTAACAAACCAGAACTTTACCAAGCTTCTGTTTTTGATCTGGTTATTTTTGTAGGCTATATTTACTAGTGCTATGGCGATTCAATATCTTTCAATATTAGTGATGTCATGTTTTTATTAGTTGCAGTATGAAGGGACTTCTTACTTCTAATGGTTATTTAAGAACTAAACCCACAATGCAACAAAGTGTAGAGATTTTGAGTTTGCTTTAAAATAGGGTTTAATACATCGTGATTTATAAACTCTGCATTTCAGACTAATTTGCATGAAATCTCCTTCTGTGCTGTACGTGGTGTGAAAGACACAGCAAGGATTTTGGTATCTGTCTTCTTTACACTTAATGGTTAAGTTAACCAAGGTCCTCAGTGTTTCATATATTCCTTAAACCATGTGATGGTTTCGGAGTCCAGCCATGCCACATGCCACATTACCAGTGTTATGTTTGCTCACATCCACCATATAAATAAGCTACAGTATGATTCTGCTCTCTCTACATGTGCTGTAGATATACTGATTTACCGAGTGATTGTATATTCAACAGTCTGAAATGTTCTGAGTGGTGGCTTAACACAGACACATTGTTAAATTCACTCTACTTAATAAATGGCAAAAGGATGAAAATGCTTTGTTTTTGTGACATTAACACACAACGAACAGAGGAAGAGGAACTGCGTATTAAACACAAACAAGTCATGGTAATTAAAAGGCCTTTATTTCCTATTTGTTTTTACAGAACTGTTAACACATATGATAAATTTGTAATAAGTTATTTGGTTCCCTTGATAACTTTATAAGGATCCCCAACGTTTGTCCACATAAGGGTCAAGAGGAGTTTGTGAGCAACGTTTGTGTCCAGTCAAGGGCTAAAGCATGCGATCCACAGTAGGCACAAGTACTGACATGAACACGCGCACCACGACACTAGACACGAAGAAACACGGCTAGAGGACACAACCTGACTGTCCTCTGATGCTTTAAAAGAGGATGAAGAGAAAGAGGTGGAAATAAAAAGGGAAAAGAAGAGTCTTGAGAATACAGTTGCATCAGGGATGAGGGGTGGAGGACTAAGCGCTCAAGAGGGGAGTTTGGTACGCTCCTGCATGTTTGGCAGTATACAGTATGTCCATGTTGTAAACATGAAGGCCGGCATTCTTTACGCTCAGCAAAAGCAGTTTCAGTGGAGAAATCAGTGAGCCTGCTTCCTATTCAGCATCATGAAACCGACGGTGCATGGTTGGTTACACGTAAACGAGACAAAGACGCAATGAGAAAGCAAATGTGACAGAGTTTGGTGGCACATCTCTATATTCTACATTAAAGGCATACATCACAAAAAATTAAATGGCAGAAGAAGTGATTACACATATGCACAAGAATACAAAGGAGAAGTACAGCGAGTAATAGAGGAGACAAGACATCATGTTTCAAAGTGGCGTTTTTACCCGCTGAGAGGCTCCTCTACACATTTTGACAAGGTGGTAAAAGATCTGCTGAACTTTGGATGGTTTCCCTTTTTAAATCCCAGCGTTTGCAGAAAAATCGAATAAAACAAACAAACCACAACTGTGTGACCGGTGCTCTTTCAGCTGTCTGCACAGCTGAAAGAGCACACAGCTTCAGATGCGGATGTGCATAAAGATATTACACAGTTACACAACCAGTAAGAGAACAGATTAATTTCCAGGTTTAAAACACAACTAAGACTGTTGTTTGACCATTACAGTCAAACGCACAAAGATGCACATTTACGAATGAGTAATGTGTCCCATGCATGCAGACCTGTACTGTATATTGTATAATCCAATGCTGTGGTTTTGCACCGTGTCTGCTAAAGGGCATACACCTCATCTTTTTTTCCCACATACCCAAATACACACAACTCCCAGTCCCCCATAGAACTTGTCCAGCGGTCATGCGACTGCAGTGACCCGAGCAGTAAAAGGTACTAAAAAAACCCAAAAATATATCTCTAAAGTGTGCTATAGGTTTACCTGTAATCACCTTTGCCTCATCATCTGAAGTGTTTGTCACTGCTCTGCGTGTACTGTTATTGTGGCTTTGCAGATTCAAACAGTGGTGATGAGTGAAGGCAACCGTAATCAGGTAGTGGCAGTATTTTTAGAAATGCGCTGAAATTTTGTGTTTAAATTATTCTCAGTGCATCATTTGGTCACAGTCTATAGCGTTAACGGGACAGTGAGTAAAAACTATATTGCATTAGACAATGTGTAGCGTCACACAACACACTGCAGATTGTTGCCAGAACAGATGTGGCAGTTTGACAGATCTGGCAGGATTGAGGTGAACTTAAAGGAATAGTTCCACACTTGGAAAACTTGCTCATGCTCTTGCCTATTATTGATTGGCTGACTCCACCCCTGTGTCATTGTTTGTTTTTCTTTTTTAAGTATAAAGCTCAGCACAAAGACTGGAAAAAGAGGTTGCCTCGCTCGAAGTAAGAAAATATGCCTACTAGCACCACTAAAGCTCACAAAGTAACACATAATACCGCTGTTTAAAATGTTCAAAGAAAAGAAAAGAAAAAGAAAGGAATAAAACAAACTAGGGGAGTGTTTTTTTTGTTCCATCAACAACTGATTTTAGGATGACTAAATAACACAAGCTTCATATTTTAGTGTGGACTGTGGAATCAGTCGTCTTTTCAAACTCTCTGCAAACTGGCAAGTCATTTCCCAAAATGTGAAACTATTTCTTTCGTTTAATTTTACGTGCATGACATCAAAATGATTTTTTCTGCCATGTGCCTGTGAAAATCATAACTCTGTGCATAGTTCTATGGGAGGGATTCAGGTTTAAAACTTGGGTTCCACTATTAAGTTTCTCAGTTTTTGATCTCATTTTTGTTGCTTGAGCAGTTTGCTCAAATAAAAAAAATGAAAAGAAATAAAAGGAAAACAACAAAAACAAGGGTAACTTCTTATTAATTGTACATGTAGTCACCAGTACATTCTAAACTCTGCTAAACTGGAAGAAGAGAAACTAGAAGAGTGACCCAGTTTGGTTCATAAATTGCACTCGGCCCAAGTATAGAACACGCTCTTGTATATATATATATATATACATATATATATAATTCTTAGCGTTATTATTAGAATCTATTGTGATGTCATATCTATTATTTATACTATCAAAACAAGGCATATACATTACTAATCACAATACTGGAAAATCAGCTACCTCTATGAAACAAGGACATCAACAGCTCCGAAAGTAGAAAAAGACACACTCACTCTACTAAACTCACAACTGTTCCCAATGCTCACATATACATTAAATTGATTTTTGCCCTCTTGATGAACAAAGACCTCTGAAAGGAATGTAAAAGAGAAACACTGGCCAAGGAAAATGAAGACATGTCAGATTTTTTTCTTCATAAATAAACTCTAGCTACTCAGCTGAGCTCTAAAGAGTT